CTATTAGGGGCATCTCAGCAAAGAAGGGGCAGAGGAGGATAGAGGAGGACGGGAAACACGAGTACCTTCCGGGGGTCGGTTTTTCGTCCTTGGTCCACTTTTGATACGTAGTCCTGGGGCCGATGACAGGCCCCAGAGGCCAAAATCGAGAAAAACGCCAGGATTGAAACAACGAGATCGTCGGAGATCTGCGTTAGGCTTGGGGCACCTCTGGCAACTCCCAGTTTGGGGGGGGGCGGCACTCACAACGCAGGAACGGGCTCGCCGACTCCAGGCCGCTGCTGCCTCCCCTGGAAACCGGATGCCCGCGGATCTGATGTTGTCAACCCGCGGCCCCAGGAGCTCCCAGACCCCTTCCCCAGGGACCGCCTTTCGGCCCAGATGCGTGTCCGGCGGCCCTGGGGCCCGAGAGCGGCTCCGGCAAGGCCGAACTGAAGGAGAAAGCCAGCAGGGTTGCATCATCGTTTTGCTTGGAGCGATCCCCACCCGAGAACGCGAGGCGGCATCCCCGGGCAGCACGAGCACACCTTGGGCCTGGCGGCCGCGGCATGCAGCCGTGATCCATCGAAGACATGAGGCGGGTTACCCAGTGAGCGCTGGCACATGTTGGGCCTCGCGGCCGCGGTATGCAGGGTGTGCGCGGCGTGTCAGGAGCTCTTTCTTTGAACACAGCAACCCCAACCTGTCGGGCGGGGGGGCAGTCCTTCGGATGTTTCGAGGTTGGGAGGCTCGGAGGTTCGAGGTCTCGCACTCTTCACAGTCTGGTCGTCCCCAGTTTGCACTGCGGGCGGCAGAGTGGGCCGCGGCGGCCGCCTCGCCTCTGGGCTGGGGCGCGGCGCCAGAATTCGCAGCCCCGTGCGGGACGCATGCGTGGGCCTGCCTTCCTCCGACTCCGCTCTCACGCCCCCGCCGCTCCTCGTCTTCCTCGCCCTCCTCCTCCTCGCCATCCCCCTCCTCCTCCTCGCCCTCCTCCTCATCCTCCTCCACCGTCTCATCATCACCATCAACACCATCACCAGTACCACCATCAACCTCAGCCTCTTCCCGCTCCACTTACCTCCCTCCCTCCCTTCCTCCCTCCCTCCTTCATGATCAGGGTTCCTCCTTCTCAGGTGCTTCGTACGTGGGATGCTAGAACCGTCGCGTCGAATGCCCTTCGGCGGTCTGCTCCTCGTCCCTCCTCCTCCTCGTCCTCGTTATTGACATCGCCATCATCCCTCTATCCAAGCCTCGTCCTCATCATCGTCATCCTGCTCTTCCCCATCTCGTTCTTAATCCTGCTTCTCGTCCTCTCCTCGCTGTCGCTCTCGCCCCCTCCCGCACCCCACACCCCACACACACCTCCCTTTGGTTCCTGCACCAATTAGTGCAGTATCTCTGCGCGGCCTGTTTCTGCGGACCCCGGGCGCCGCCGAGTCGTGGCGGCTGATGGTACGTGCGCAGGCGCGCCAGGGCAAGCGCAGCCGAGAGAAAGGACATGTTGCCGGCGCCGACGGGGAGGAGGATGACGAGGGAGAGAGAAAGAAGGAGGGAAAAGGGAGAGCCGAGTCTCCATTCCCTTCCCCCGCTGCTGCTGCTTCCCCTCCCTCCCTGCCACCATCCCTCCCTTCCTCCCTCCCTCCCCGGCCTTGAGAGAGGAGGGACAGGCGGAGGCGTTGGATGGAGAGTGGACACCCGAGGATTGAGTTCCAGAGGCTACTTGGGCGTGAACTCGCACCCTCAGATGGCGAGCGCGACCCTGCTCCGTTGGGCGCGACTCGAGGAGACGGGAGGCTCCCGAAGACCCAGCCCATCAAGACCGCGCCCCAGGTGTGCGATCCAGGGTGGGCGGGAAGGATACGCCAGTACGTGGCCAAGCGAAGCCCGACAGACCCTTTGGGCAGGAGCTGGTGGGCACGTGCGCCAGCGAGCGGCCGAACGAAGCACAAACACCTGGCTGGTATCTGCAGCCCGCCCCAGCCTAACCCACACGGCCAGCGGCAGCGCGCCGCCGCCTTCGCCGAGGACGCGATGTGGTCCGAAGTCTCGTGAAGCAGACGTCTCAGGAGGGGGGAAAAAAAACACAGGCACACTGCATCGTCCATTCCCCAGAAAATATAGGAAAATATGGGAAGTGGGGGGAAAACAAAAACCCAGGAAATATGATAACATATGGGGAATCCTGTTATATGTGTGTCTTTTTTTGTCTGCAGCCGCCGCCCTCGTAGAAGGCAGAAGCGGCTCGATCGCCTCAAGCGTCGCCTCCGCCACCTCTTGGCCAGTCCTCCCGCCGCTGCTCCACGAGGCGGGGCGGGAGGCGGAGCAGGATGGGGAGCAGCGGAAGGGAGAGGAGGAGGAGGAGCAGGAGGAGGAGGAGAAGGCGGAGAAGGAGGAGGAGAAGGAAGAAGAGGAGGTGGAGGAGGATGAGGAGGAGGAGAAGGAGGCGTAGAAGGAGGCAGGGGAGGCGGAGCGGGGAGGAGTGCGAGGGGGGAAGCAAAGGAGGAGCGGGAGGGTGACTGGGGAAGGGGGGCGAGAGAGAAGGAGGCCCTGAGGTCTGACGTTGCCAAAAAGATCTCCTGGCGAAGGACCCAGCCACATGCAAGTGCGAGTACCGCAAGGCAGTTGGGACGAAGGTGGGACCGCGAAACGCGTGAGAGGTGTACCAACATGGGCGGGGTGACGCCATGCGGGCGCTGCCACTGGGGCCTTCGATGGAGCTCCCTGTCCGGCCACGAAACGTGTGAGAGGTATGCCGAAATGAGCGGGGGGTCTCCATGAGGGCGCTGCCGCTGGGGCCTTCGGTGGAGCTCCTTATGAAATCACGAAACGTGTGAGGAGTGTGCCGACATGGGCGGGGCAACGCCGTGCGGACGTTGCCAATGAGACCTTCGGTGGAGCTCCCCGTAAGGCCACGAAACGTGTGAGAGGGGTGCCGAAATAGGCGGGGTGACGCCATGCAGGCGCTGCCGCTGGTGCCTTCGGTGGAGCTCCTTGCGGGGTCACGACATGTGTCAGGGGTGTGCCGACATGGGCGGCGTGACGCCATGCAGGCGCTGCCATTTGGGCCTTCGGTGGAGCTCCATGTCGGGCGACGAGATGTGTGAGAGGTGTGCCGACATGGACATGCGGACGGCTGAGGCAGGGATGGGAGGGGGAAGAGGAGGGGGAGGGGGGAAACGCGGGGCGCTGTTTCTTCAAAACGAGAACCCAACGCCACAGGATGGTTCGGAGTTGACACATCGCGAAAAATCACGACCGGCGTCCTACGCCCCATCGTTCTGCGGCATTCTTCGGACCAGATCGATCTGTGATGGCCCCAGGGCCCAAAAACTGGGTGTGAAAGCGCTTGGTGTGAAAAGAAAGCAACGCCTGGATCTCGGAGAGAGGGGGGACATGTGGGACGTCGGGCGGGGCTAGGACAGGATGAATCGTTCCAGACTGTTTCGGAACGCTGTCAAAGCGTTCCAGAACGCTTTGAGAAGGCCACGGCGCCCGTTATACATCCTCCAGAGCCGCCAGATTTCAGAGATCCCCGATTGATCTCTGTCCGGTGTTGTCCTTGTCCTGGCTTCGCCGCAGGACGGGACACGAGGGAGGAGGGTGGCGCGGCCACCTCGGCCCCAGACGGCTGGAGGCAGCGAGCCCCCCCTTGGCAGAGAAGCCGAAGCCGGCCCGAAACGGGCCGAGCCTGCACGCGCGTGGAGCCCAAGCGGGCCGAAGCCGAAACGGGCCGAAAGCCGCACCGCGCCGAAGCCGAAACGGGCCGAAAGCCCAATCGAGCCCCATGTCCAGAAATCGAGGATAGATGTGTGTGGGGGGGCAGAGAGGACGGGACACCTCGGCCACCTCGGCTCCAGACGGGCGGGGGGAGCGGGGACACCCCCCTGGGCGCGGCGCCATGATGCACCAGCCTTTCGCGCCCGGGGACCAGTGCGTCACCGTCTCGGAGGTGACGGTCCGGGCAGGGGAGGACTTGGACAGCGACATCCTCGAGGCGGCGAAGAGGAGGCAGGGCAGGGGAGCCAGGGGGACAGGGAGGGAGGGAGGAAGAAAGGGAGGAGTAAGATGAGGAGGAGGAGGAGGAGGAGGAGGAGGAGGAGGAGGAGGAGGAAGGGGAGGAGGAGGAGGAGGAGGAGGAGGAGGAGGAGGAGGAGGACGGAGATGATGATGGTCGTTCTCTGAACTTTAATCCTGACGCAGAATGAGAGCCGCCAGATACGTTCGCCTTTTTCAGTGTTGAGAGTTCGCAACAGTGCATTCACAATGGTGTACGCTTCTGCTCTGCAGCCTTTTCTCTCGAGATGCGGCCGGAGGGAGCAAGCCTCGCCAAGTTAGGCTTTCTCCTGGCCTGGATTGTTTTGGGCCCGACCGCTCACCAGCGCCTCGCCGGCGGCCCGGGGCCGCCCCCACCGCCTCCGCTGGCTGCGGAGGCCGACTCGGAGCCGGAGGCGCCCTCTGCGGAAGCCTGCGCCGATTGGCTCCCGCCCGCTCCGCAGTGTGCGGAGCCAGTCGTGGAGCATCGCGCGCCCTCGCTGGAGGAGTGCGCCGCCCTGCTCCTGCAGTGCTCGGCCGGCGCCTCGCTGCCCGAGCAGTCGTCGCTCCAGCACCTGCTCCTCTCGCTTGCGGGCCCGCTGCTCGTGGAGGGGTTCCGCTGGCTGGCGTCCGCTTGCGCGCGCTGCGGTCGCCGCGAGGCCCAGCGGCCTAGCGCACCCGCGCCCGCATCGGAGAGCCCACGGCCTGCGCCGACCTCGCCGCCAGGCGGTCGGCCGCCGTTGCAGCACCAGCCGCGCGGAGGTGGAGTATATCGATGATTGAGGGCGATGAGGTATTCATCGAGTATGCAGTGCAGCCGCCGCTCCTTCATGGTCATACTGCGGTGGCTGTGTCAGCGGTTCGGCCCACCGATTGCTTGGTCATCACGCCTGACGACGACCTTCACATTGAAGAGCTGGGGCCAGGCAACACGGACATTCGAGCCTGGTACTGCCGCGTTAACGGAGGGGGCCCTCCGCCCGTTGCAGGAGGCATCCCGGTGTACGACTTCGCGGCCCCGCTCACGCTTGCCGACTTCGCTGCGCTGCGCCCTGCCGCCGTTCGGATGGTGGCCGAGCACGACGCCGCGCTCGTCGCCGCAGGGGTGCAGGCCGTCGCGCCCGCCGCCGCCGCTGCTGGCCTTGGCCCCGCGGCGGCCCCGCCCGCGGCAGCCCTGGCTCCCGCGCCGCCCTTGCTGGCAGCTGCTGGTGGCGCCGTGGGCTTCGCCGCGGTTCTGGTTGGGGCTGGTAGACCAGCTGGTGCCGCTCCTGCCGCTGACCCCGCCGCGGCCGCCCAGGTTGCCGCCGCCGGGGCTCCTTCCTCCCGCTGCGGGTGCCCTCGCTCCTGGGGCCGCTGCCGCCGCCGGCGCCGCTGGTGGGCATGGAGGCCTACACGCTGCGCTGGCCGCTGGCCCAGGGCCTGCGCGGGTGGCCGCTGGGGGCGATTTCCGCACGCTGCCCGTCAGTTACGACATGGAGGGGAAGCGCCACAAGGAGTTCGGTGATGCGGTCAGGGAGATGCGCCAGCAGGCCTGGCCTGACTGGATTGCACCTGGACCGTGCACAGTCTTCTGGTGCGCGAACTTCATGCTGGAGAACGGCGGCTCCGCGGTGGGGCACCACATCGCCTTCCGCTCCGCGTGCCGCCTGGGCCTCGACGAACCTGCGATGCTGCTTCACTCGAAGCTGTCGAAGATTGTCCAGACGGCGATGTGCTACGACCAGGTCGATGCTAGCAAGTTCGCCTCGATGGAACTCATGTGCCGTCAGATTCAGCTGCTTGCTTGGCACCACGGGCTCGGGGCACCAGGAGCACGACGAGAGTTAGTACTTCACGGGCTTGCAGAACACTCGCGGTACCATAGTGCGCCCCGCCCTCTCGAAGTGGATCGCCGAGCAGGTGTCCGCCGAGAACGCCGTCTTCAGAGCGCCGCAAGGCGCGGGAGGAGCGGGCGCTCGCCACGCCGCCGCCGCCGACCCGCCGCCGCGGCGAGCAGGGCGGCGGCCAAGGTTGACCACCTTGCCGTCTCTTCTGATCAAGGCTGCTGCCTGCGCCCTGGCCGCGCGCGGGAGCTCGCAACCCGAGCCCCTCGCTCCTGGCCCATGTCGGCTAGTCGTCAGCGAGAAATTCCCCCGCCCCCCATGATCGAGTTGCCCGCCAGGCTTCCAGGTGGCTCTCGCGCTGTTCAGCGACGTCGGGAGCGACTTCGGTACAGTGCTGGACTCGCGAACGACGCGATCACCTCCCTCAACCTGCTTGCTGGCCGCTCGGACCACGGGCCTGCTCGGTTGGACTCGGTCGCCCAAACTCTCGCCGGGGAGAACATCGTGGACAGCTGCGTCGCTCTAGGCCCCCCGCCTCGGGGCGTCAGCACCCGCGGGGGCCTTCACGAGCTCTGCGGGAACGCCATCACGCACGGCGGCTCCTCCCCGGTCGTACCCCGCAACAAGGACCTCCTCTCTTGGCCCGTGACGGGTGCCGCGCCAGTCTCGCTGACCGCCGCGCTCGCCCCGGAGCACCACTCATGGTCGGGGGATCGATTGGCCAACTCGCGTCGTAGTGTTGACGACGCGGACCGCCTTCGCATGGGGTTGGGATTGGCGCGCCCGCATTCCGACCCTGCCTTCCGCACCTCCTTTCGTTATCCTGGCTTCGTCGAGCAGCTGCACTTGCGCGGCATGGTGCGCCTTGCTGCGGCCTCTGGTCGGCCACCTTCGCTGGGCGTGTTCATGGTGGCCAAGAAGAGTGGCGCCCAGCGGGTCATCTTCGACACGCGGTGGGCCAACTTGGACTTCCTGCCGCCCCCCCGCGCGCAGATGCCAACGGCGGTCGCGCTCAGCCAGCTGGAGACCGCCGAGTGCGACGCGTGCTATTTCTACGCGGGCGACATCCAGAACGCCTTCTACGCCATCGCGATACCTGAGGCGTTAGGAGACGCCTTCAGGCTGGCGCCTGCGCGCGTTGAGGCGGTTGGTTGCCCAGTCGTCAACGGCCGCACTTTGCGGCGGGGCGATTGGCTCACCCCGCACCTCGCCGTCCTTCCGATGGGCTGGAGCTGGGCGCTGCACCTCTGCCAGCTCGCGGTCGAAGAGGGCGCCCGTCGCGGAGGCCTGCCAAGCGAGCGCCTCTTTAGCGACCGAGCCGCAGCAATACCTCTGGAGCTGCGCGTGCCCCAGGGCGCCGCCGACGTCGACAACTTCCGGGTGAGGGGGGGGGGGCCCGGCAAGCTGCGGCCTCCACAGGTCAGCGCGTGGCCAGCGCCTTCACCGACTCGGGCTTCGTTGTGCACGAGTAGACGGGCGCCTAGACAAAGGTGCAGTTCGTCGGGCTCGAACTGGACGGCCGCGGCCACACCGTGCGCGTCTCGTGCAAGCGCATCTGGCGTCCGAAGGCCGCCCTCGCCGAGCTCTTGGCGAAAGGGCGGTGCAGTGGCGACGTCATGGAGATCCTCATTGGCCACCGGACGTGGGTCATGCTGATCCAGCGCTGCTCGCTGTCCACGCTGTCCTCAGTCTACGCTTTCGCGCAGCAGTGCCGAGGGCGGCTTGAGGTGCTGTGGCCTTCGGTCAGGCAGGAGTTGACCGTCGCCATGGGTTTGCTGCCGCTGCTGGTCGTCAACACGAGCGCTCGCTGGCATGACGTGGTGGCTGCCAGTGATGCCTCCCGCTGGGGTTGCGGAGTCTGTCGCAGGCACTGCAAGCCTGCTGAGGCCGCCGCCTTCGGCCGCGCGGCCGAGCGCTGGAGGCGTCGCGTCGCGGGGGCCGCTGCCGCGAGGGACCGCGCTTCCTTGGCAGAGGAGGCGGCGGACGCCCTGGCCATGGACGCGACTCCTTGCCCAGAGTCCGCCCCTGCTGCGCAGGACGACGCGATGGGCTACACCAATGGATTGCTGCAGGCGCACGCGGATCCAACTCCTTCGACCCGGCGGACGCCGATCTCATGCAGCCCGACCGCTGGCAGGTGGCCCAGAGCTTCCAATGGGGGGCAGATGCTAACATCCTCCGACTCGAAGGGCTAGCTCTGTCTTCGGCTCTTCGTCATCTGATTCGAAGCCGCTCTGCTTTCGGCCGACGGCTGCTCATCTTCGTCGACAACCTCGGGCTGGCTCTCGCGGTTGGCAAGGAACGCTCGTAGGGCCTTCCAGATCCGAGATGTGCTTCGAGAAATATGCGCCTTATCTTTGGCCTGCAATGCACGGCTCTCGGTCAGATGGGCCCCTTTCTGAGGGTTATCCTGCGATTGCCAATCGGGAGGTCGCGCGTTCATCAAGCACGCGGTCACGGCGGACGTCTTGTGCCCTGCTGTTGGCGCCGTGGTTTCTGACGCTGTCGCCTGCGCGCCCCCAGCCGCCCCGCCGTTCCCAACCTTCAGCGAGAACAGGCCCTTACATGACGCGGACGCTGGTGCCCGAGGCGTCAGCTTGGATGGTGGGACAGACTCGAGCCCCCCGTGCAATGCACACGGCGGCTCGTCAGCGCTGCCCGCCGCTGCCGCCGTTACCCTTCGCCCCCCCGACCCGAACAGAGCTGTCCTACCTGGAGGAACGGTCGGCGGCGCCGGCGACCTACAAGGACTACCGCCGCCAGGCCTCAGCCTTCCTCCACTGGGCGACGCCGGTCCGCCTGTGATGGGACAGCTTCGAGCAGCTGGACGTTTGCCTGGTGCTCTTCCTGGACGAGCTGTTCTTCGGGGGTTTTACGGGCGACGACGCCAGCAAGCTGATCGTTGCCATCAAGTTCTTCTACCCGGACCTGGGCCGCTGGGGAGCGGGCGCGCTGCCGCGGACTTCGCGGGCACTGGCGGGTTGGGGCAGGGCGGTGCCTCGGAGGACCCGCATGCCCATCCCGTGGGTGTTGCTGGCGGCGATCGCGGGGGCGTTCGCCGTGGCCGCCCTGCTCTCCTTCGCGGCGTGCCTTCGGCCCGGCGAGTGCGACTCGTTCACGTCGGCCCAGCTGGTCGCCCCCGTCGAGGCGGCCAGAGGGGCCGCAAACGTTTGGGGGCTGCTGCTGGCGCCAGTCGAGATGGGCGCTCCCAGCAAGACCAACACCTGGGAGAACGCAGTGCTCCTGGACTCGCTGACGCACTTGTACCCCTGCCTCCAGGTCTTGAAGATGCGGGCCCGCGAGTCGACGGACCGCATCTGGCAGTTCCCGCCAGGCGACCTGTCAGTCCGCCTCTCGGAGGCGGCGGCCGAGCTCCAGTCGCGGGACTTGGGGATCACGGCGCGCGGCCTTCGCCACGGAGGAGCGCCCCACGACCTCCCCCACCGCCTGCGGACGCCGCTGGAGGCGAAGCTTCGCGGGCGCTGGGCCTCAGACAGCACGCTGAAGCGCTACGCGAAGCAGACGCGGGTCATCTCGGAGCTGGCCCGAGCTCCGGCGCAGGTGGTGGACTACGGCAACCGCGTCTCGGGGAGGCTCGGCGCCCTGTTCGCCGGCGCGGCCGGCGCCCTGCCCCCTCCAGCGCTGCCGCCGGCGCCAGCTGCTCAGGCGCCGCTGAGCGATCGCCTCGCGATTGCTTGCCTCCGCTCACTCCTTCGAGCGGCCATGGCGAGTGCCAGCCGCAATCGGAAACATATTTTCCTGGAGCTTATTTGCGGGATCCGAGGGGCTCAGCCCAGGGGTGAAAAATTTGGGCTGCGGAGTGATTGCTGCTGTTTTCGTTTCTCGACCCTGGTTCGATCTCGATCGGCCTGTCATTCGTCGAACCCTTCTCGGCTGGGCCTCTTCGGGGGTTGCATTGGCCGCGTGGTTAGGCACGCCCTGTAACAGTTGGTCACAGGCCAGGCACGGCCCCCCAGGCAGCAGTTGGTGCAGGATCCGAGCGCCCGGCGCGCTCTGGGGCCTTCCGAACTTGAAAGGCCGTTCTGCATCCACCGCTGCCCGAGGGAACAGCCAGCTCCTCTTTTCTGTGAAAGTCACTCGAGCCTGCGAGCGCCAAGGGACTCCTGCCTTTCTTGAGAACCCTGCCTCCTCCTTCCTCTGGTTTCTGCCCCCGCTTCAGAGACTTTCCCTTCTTCCCTCGTCGCAAACCCTCGTGTTTGATTTTTGAGGATTTGGGGCCAGGTGGAGAAAGCGGACCAGGGTCCAAGTCTGGGGTAGCGGTTTCAAAATCTTCAGGCAAGTTCTGGATTCAAGCCGCCCAGAGCTGCCCTCGCCGCATGGCCTCGACGTTCGCTGCCGCTATTATGAACTGCGTCCAAGGCCTCCACCTGGCCCGCCTTCGGCAACTGATATCGCTCTCATAAGTTTTGACGGCCATGTTGGCCAGAAGCCATCCTGGGACTTGGGTCCCTTCCTTCTCTCCGCTCCTGGTCGGTGGTGGTGTCCTCCTCCCTGCCTCTTCTCCTCCTCCGCTGCTGGCGTCTCTTGGGCACGAGCCGGTCCGTCGTCGGTACAGTTGTCTGGCCTGCGTTCA